TTCGATATCGATGCCCAGACGCTGCGGGGTGTCGGCCATGTCTACATTTCTAAGGACAAGAAAGTCGAAGAACTGCTACCAATGATCCTGAAGAAAATGGGATGGGGAGAGAAGCTACCTGCCGAGGAGAAGCTTCTGCTTTGGGAAGTAAGAAAACTACTGACCTTGGATGACGGGCGGTAACTAACTTGAAATAGGAGATCAAGCCTACTATGATTGAACCTCTCAAGCCCAAGCAGTCGCTCAAGGTTGCCGAATTGCAAGACGGAGACATTATCTGCTTCCAGCGAACCAAGGCTGGCGTCGAAAAGCGCGCCGGTGAAAAGATTTCGCAAGAAACGTGTGTTGTTGCAGTATACAATGTGGGCCATTCATTTACTAACATGTTTTCAGAAGTAACACATCTGATCATTTCGAGGATGCGCGTGAATACTACGATTTCCTCGAGAATAGGCGAACCGTTAAGTTCCACCCGCATCCCAGTCGATGTGACCAGACGCAGTATCCCCCGTTTGATCTCGTGCTCAACACTAAGATAACTTATGACACGCTTTCAGAGCGTGTTGGAGCGTATTTGGACGTGAACCCGACACATATTCGGTTTTGGACAGTGAATGCCTCGACGCAAAACCCCAAGACGCCGGTTAGACGCGGAGCAAACCCAACACTACGACAGATTCTTAGCCCTATGGGTTCAACTGCTCTCAACTCCACTCAGAGAGATGATGCCTTTTATTTTGAAGTTCTTGAGATGAGTTTAACAGAACTCGACACCAAGAAGAGCATCAAGGTCAATTTGCTGAGTGAAGGCATCACCAAAGAGGTATTTTTCAGTCTCGTGGTCTTTCGACAATGCGGCTAACCGTGTATGCAGGACACATACGATCTACTCGTCCCCAAAACAGGAACTATTGACGATTTAGTCGAGGTTTTGATAAGAAAGGCGCAAATACCAAGCGAGACCGATGGTGGAAGAATCCGCATCTACGAAACTAGCTCTAACCGCTTCTACCGCGAGCCTCTACGCGAACACCCCGTTATTAACTTGAACGAGTTTGCGAAGATCTATGCAGAGCGAGTTCCTCAAGAGGAGCTCAATGCTGACGATACCCATTTTATTCATGTCTTCCACTTCCACAACGACGTTAGCCGCGTTCATGGCGTGCCGTTCAAGTTTCTGGTCATCGAGGTGAGTGCCCTTGATACTGAGACGCATCAATGTATTAACATGGTGGTAGGGCGAGAGCTTTGCAGATACCAAGAAGCGATTGGAGAAGCGAACCGGAATCAAAGGCAAGAGTTTTGAGAAGATCAAGATCGCTGTTGTGCGACGAGCCAATTACTCAAAACCCCAATATCTCAATGACGGTAAGTGCCATCTTTTTGCATTTGACTTGTTATGTAACTAACATGGTTTAAGATGATGTGCTATCAAGTTTCATACAAGGGGAAGACGACTACCTCGGCCTTGACCATGTAGATAGAACGAGGACATTGAGGAACGGCGTTGGGGACCTGTTCCTTAAATAAATGTTGCCGAACGAGAAGGAGATCATGTTAGTTCGAGAACATGTAAGCAATGAGGCAATGGGTGTCGCCGATGATGAGGCAGAGACATTGAGTATCTAGCATATATGCCTGCTTGCCGCTTGGAAACCGCAGGCGTTCAAGCATCGTACATTCGCAGCCAAAAAGCATTGGTGCTGCTGTTCAACTGACGAGCACAAAGCCGTGGAAATGAGTATACGCAGGGGCGCATTACATGAGCGTCTGAGGTGAGAGGCGGGCTTTGCCCAGTCATGATGACGGATGGATGGAAAGGCATGCGAAGTGAAAGCATGAATTAAGGTAGATTAGGGCGATGATTACGGCATAAATTTCATTCTTACTATTCATTCCAATTGTTCGTGCTCGATCATGATATTTCACATGTGCATGTTCTGTGGGCTGGATATACGAAAGATACCACAAAACGTCAATTCTATGTATTGCCATAAAGGAGGGCAAGCATGATGTTACATCGTAAACGAATCTTATCATTGACTTGGAGTTTTCAGTATCATGTACAACTATTAAATCTACTAGTCTCAATATCTTGACATGTACGATATTGTGTGATGCCGATTCTAATCCAAGTATGATATCGATGTCTGTGCTGATAAGTAAACCAGAACCCAGAGGTGAACTATATAATCTGAAATTAGCAGCAAGGTTGCCACCAAAGAAAGCAATTTGGCGCAGTGGAAGCGCGGTATGTTTACCATTATCTGCAATATTAAACCATTACTAATAAACGCAGCCGGGCTCATAACCCGGAGGTCGCACGATCGAAACGTGCAATTGCTAAATATTCTTTTTTACATTTTTTAAAGTCTGATAGCAGTATAAGAGTATTTACTTATATCTATTTATTCTTTTAACAAGTCCTTATAATTAAAGAGAACTGTTAACCTTATAATTTACTACCTTTTTATTATTAAAAAGTAAGTTTTTTATTTCTATATATAAAGTCCTAATTAATTTAATAAAGAGGTACTAAAAACAGTTATATCTAAATACGTTAATTATTAAATAATAAATAGGTATGTTTGCTCCAATGCCGCCATTTATATAATCGCTTGTGTATTACGGGGTCCGGGCAATAATAAACCCAGCTATCCCATTATAAAACAACGACCCATTCGGTTTCAGAGCAAATCTTGTTGATATACAGTTAACATGAAGGCTGTGAAGTTGGGGGTGGTTTGTGAAATTGCAGGTAGTTCTGTGTGCCCCTGAGATGGTTAAAAGACAGTTGCAATGAATCACAGAGATACGAGCGATACAGTCCTGGCAGCATGATATCAAAGTTTAATGAGGCATATATTGAATACCGAGAAGTTTAAAGAGTCGAAAGCTAATGGCTCTTAGTGTCTCTATTTCTTCTGCTCTCAACGAGACACTTCATGTTATGAGGCTTTAGTGACAGCATCACCATGCAGGCAGAGCCTCCTTAACAGCAGTCTCGGCTTTCAACCCAGTGTGAATATTCGAAAGAAAACAAAATAAAAGCACTAAGAAGTAATGCTTTAGAATAAGTTGACTCATAAACCGGACAGAACGAAACCTCGATGCGCTTTCGTTGCACCAAAACCCTCTGAGAATTCTGTGCACTAGATGATATTTACCTGCCAATATTTGCATCATAAACAACTGAAAGCAGAGCTGTTAAGACCATGGAACCACGTGTTCCAGCTATCTTCCTACATGGCCTTTGCGGCATGTCGGAGCGTTAGAGGAACCCCTGAGTCTGCTTAGACTCGACTATTTCTCAGCCCAATAAGACGGAAATGCAGCAACTATTGGAACAGATTGCTACAGAAATACTTCGGCAGCGCTTTAATACGAGTTGGAGATATTTCCTATCAAGAAAAACCCACTCATTCTAAGGATTTCCTAAACTTCTTCAGCAAGATCATCATGAAGTTGTAATGGTTACTCCTTCAGCTTTCAGCTTGATATTGAGAACAAGTTGCCGGAGGTGAACCAACTCAACGGTTTTGTAATCTCCCTATCGTTCGGAACACGATGTAAGGATGTAGTCAACGTCGCTTTCGGTGGTTATGTCGGCGACGAGTGCACCCTTGCTAACGATCTTATACGTTTCGTGAGAATTCACATCTTGTTGACTCTACCAACCAATAACAGACTCATGGCCAAAATGGAAGAGTCGTACAGTTTATCCTAAGATGCCCACAAGAACCCGATATGATCATAGCCTTGGACAATCATCGTCTGTAAGTGTTTAACGTTTGGGGAGCTGCGCGCGTGCCTGCAGCAGCGAGCATTCGGCCGACTTCATCCAATACTAACGGACGAGCTATCTTTAGCATGTGAAAAGGGTCCGATTCAAAGCTGACTTTGTAATCAGAGGCAGCTCCCTTGAGGACGAATGTGGATATTGGAAAGCTCTAGCAGCTCTGGTGGAGGACCCCTACAATGTCCCTCTTCCCTCACATTATTAACCGATAACGTTGGGGGAGGCTCTGTGCTTATGTGCATTGCATTGGTAGCGTTAATCGACGTTCCACAACGGTCTTGGCAAGCCGTTTGCTCGCTTTGATTACCAATACAAAACATCCATCCATCAATGTTCTCATTTCAGAAACAGTTCACAAAGAGCAGAGCAAATTACTGTGACTCTTACGGCGTAAACAGTTCCACTTTCTTGTAATACTGGAAGCATCCGACAAGCCCGGAGACGACTCTTATACGCGTTCACTGGTTCAGGTACCCGGGCTTTAGGCGTATGACACAACGCAACAGTGAAAGATGGATGGAATTCAGAGTTTGAGGCGCTAAAATCCGATGGATTACGCTGCAATGTCCGGCCGGGAGAAGGGATCTGCGACTTGGCATGAATCTGTTAAAGTAAAATCTGTGGGGCCTTATCTCAGATCCCGAGTCAGCAACTCCACAAACTCCATAACGTTAGGCACAACGATTCGGAAACAAGAGCTAAACTCCATGAGCTCAGCAGTCTGCAGCACATCCACACGCTAACTGAGCTCTGGAGAGGTGACAGAAAAGAATGGTTGACACTATTGCCTGTTACGGTTAACAACTGAGCAGGTTATTTCGGATACTCTTCGTCTAAATCCCTTCCACCTCCCTTAGCGTACCGGAGACACTCTTTACGTCACTCCAGAGAAAAAAAAAGTGCATAACTAGGGGTCATTATAAATACAATTATTCTCAGGGTTGAGGCGTTGAGAAGTCATCATTGCGTGCTACTAAAGCTCCTGCCTGTCCTGCAGCTCTCCGTTGTGAAGCTTATCTTCACCGGTCTTTCCCCTTTCATAGCCAAACACTTGATAGGACAGACCTACAGAGATAATAACTGCATACAAGTATCAACGCGGTGCCGCTCACCGGCTGCACGTCATAGTCTCTACCCTAATAACTACAAACTACCCAGCTTTTCTTTATTTATTTTTTAATCTCGTACAATCGCCGTCAACATGTTGGGAAACACAGTAGACGGCGATGCTCTTCGCCGCACGCAATCTTCTATGTGGCAACAGCAACAACAACCCATTTCTCAACAAACTGTTGAAGGTGGACAACATAATCCTACAAGCAGCAGCTCCTCCGAATCAGGTGTCGTCCAAGAAGGAAAATGGGGTGAGCGTGGACAGGAAGATGTCACTGCTCAAGAGGCCATGCAAGAATTCGAGTCTCTACGTCACAACTTGATGAGCCTACACAAGACAAGAACGACAGACACGCACGCAAGCAAAGCTCAGAGTAGACGGACGAGTACTGCTGCTCGAGCTCGGTCAGAGAAACATGAACATGAACATGAACATGACGACGATGATGGTTCCAAGACCGATGTAGAAGCTGGCCCTGAAGAGAGTGAGGGCTTCGAACTCGGCCGCTTCATGCGAGAAGGCCATTTCGAAAAGCGCTCCGAGGAAGAAGGATCTTTGAAGAGAGTTGGTGTTGTGTATGAGAACCTCACTGTCAAAGGCGTCGGAAGCACAGCAACTTTTGTTCGAACCGTACCCGATGCTATCCTTGGTACATTCGGCCCCGATCTCTACAATGTCCTCACCAGATACTTTCCTTCTATCCGGATTGGAAAGCCACCAACCCGAACACTCATTAACGACTTCACCGGATGCGTTCGTGATGGCGAGATGATGCTCGTCTTGGGGCGACCTGGCGCTGGGTGCAGTACCTTCCTCAAAGCTATCAGCAACAACCGCGAATCATATGCTGCCGTCGAGGGAGAAGTTTCGTACAGCGGTATCTCTGCTGCTGAGCAGAAAAAGCACTACAGGGGCGAGGTCAACTACAACGGCGAAGACGATGTTCACTTTGCTACTCTGAGCGTGTGGAAGACTCTCGCTTTTGCGCTTACCAACAAGACAAAAATCAAGGAGAAGGCCGATATTCCGGTTATCGTGGATGCTCTCATGAAAATGTTTGGTATCAGTCATACAAGAGATACCGTGGTTGGTGATGACTTCACTCGAGGTGTCTCCGGCGGTGAACGAAAGCGAGTTTCAATTGCAGAAACACTGGCCTCCAAGTCTACCGTTATGGCATGGGATAACTCTACTCGAGGATTAGACGCATCGACCGCCCTCGACTACGCACGATCTCTGCGTATCATGACAGATATTAGCAACCGAACCACCCTCGTAACCTTGTACCAGGCGGGAGAGGGAATTTACGAGTTGATGGATAAGGTTCTGGTCATCGATCAAGGCCGACAGATCTTCTCCGGACCTGCCAACAAGGCAAAGCAGTATTTCATTGATCTTGGATTCGAATGTCCCGAACGACAGACGACAGCAGACTTCTTGACTGCCGTCACCGATCCGGCCGAACGACGCTTCCGACCCGGGTTTGAACACCGCGCTCCCCGAACACCAGAAGAGCTTGAGTCGGCTTTCAGGAACTCACCACATTATCAAGAGCTCCTGGCTGATGTTGCTGCATATAAGGAGGCTCTTCACCAGTCTGACTACCAAGACGCCAAGAGGTTCCAGGGGGCCGTCCAGGAGTCGAAGTCAAAGCACGTCTCCGACAAGTCACCTTACACCATCTCGTTCCCTCGGCAAGTGCTTGCTTGCACCAAGCGAGAAGCTTGGCTCCTGTTCGGCGATACCACAACACTCTGGACAAAGCTCTTCATCATCATCTCCAACGGTTTCATTGTTGGATCTCTCTTCTACGGGCAGACTGAGGATACTGCAAGTGCTTTCAGTCGTGGCGGTACCATCTTCTTCTCGATTCTCTTCTTGGGCTGGCTTCAGCTTTCTGAGCTCATGAAGGCTGTGTCGGGGCGCGCCGTAGTTGCCCGACACCACGACTATGCTTTCTATCGTCCTTCTGCTGTTTCCCTTGCTCGCGTTCTGCTCGACTTCCCTGTTATCGCTGTCCAGGTGTGCATCTTTGGTCTTATCATGTACTTCATGACTGGGCTTGATGTAGATGTATCAAAGTTCTGGATCTACATGCTCTTCGTTTATACCACAACCATCATGGTCACAGCCCTGTATCGCATGTTTGCCAGTTTATCCCCAGAGATTGACACAGCTGTTCGATTTTCGGGAATCTCTCTCAACCTGCTCATCATTTACACCGGATATGTCATCCCCAAGACTCAGTTGTTGAAGGATTATATCTGGTTCGGCTGGTTGTACTGGATCAACCCCATCAGCTACAGTTTTGAGGCTGTCTTGACCAACGAGCTGTCCGATAGAATTATGGAATGTGCTCCCTCCCAGCTAGTTCCTCAGGGACCCGGAGTCCAGTCTGGATATCAGGGGTGTGCTATTAGCGGAGCTACAGTCAATGCGCAGTCAGTCTCGGGAAGCGATTATCTACAGGCTACCTACAACTACAGCCGATCAAACCTATGGCGAAACTTTGGCGTTGTAATTGCTTTTGCTGTTCTCTATATCCTCGTCACGGTATTGGCAACAGAGATGGTCAGCTTCACACAAGGTGGTGGTGGTGCCCTGATCTTCAAGAAGAGTCGCAAAGCTAAGGAACAAGCACGCAAAGCCGAAGCCCCAGTCGATGACGAGAAAGTCGTTGGAAATGGCACCAGCAGCTCTTCCGGCGTTGTCGCCGACCCCAGCCCCGGCAGTGAAGACGAAGCCTTGGAACAAATTACCGACAGCGAGTCTATATTCACATGGCGTGATATCGAGTATACAGTTCCATATCTCGGTGGTGAGAAGAAACTTCTGAACAAGGTCAGCGGATACGCTAAGCCTGGTGTCATGGTCGCCCTTATGGGAGCTTCGGGTGCTGGCAAGACCACACTTCTCAACATTCTCTCCCAGCGTACAAGCATTGGGGTCGTTACAGGCGAGATGCTTGTCGATGGACGATCTCTTGGCGCTGACTTCCAGAGAAACACTGGATTCTGCCTTCAGGGTGACCTGCACGATACAACCCAAACCGTGAGAGAGGCCATTGAGTTCTCTGCCATCCTGCGACAGGACAAATCTGTCAGCCGTGCTGACAAGCTTGCGTACGTGGACAAGATTATCGACCTGCTGGAGCTCAATGACCTACAAGATGCCGTTATCATGTGTCTCGGAGTGGAACAGCGTAAGCGTCTTACCATCGGCGTTGAATTGGCGGCCAAGCCTTCACTGCTTCTCTTCCTTGATGAGCCCACTTCTGGTCTTGACTCACAGTCTGCCTACTCCATTGTCCGTTTCCTCCGAAAGTTGAGCCGCGCTGGTCAGGCGATCATCTGCACCATTCACCAGCCGAGCTCTGTTCTTATTCAGCAGTTTGATATGGTCCTTGCTCTAAACCCTGGAGGTAACACATTCTACTTTGGCTCTATGGGTGAGAACGGAGAAGACGTCATCAAGTACTTCTCAGACCGCGGTGCTCTCTGCCCTCCTAACAAGAACGTCGCTGAATTCATTCTTGAGACTGCTGCACGACCTCACAGGCGTCCTGACGGCACCAAAGTTGACTGGAATCAGGAGTGGGTCGAAAGCGAGGAAGCTCAAAAAGTGCTTGAAGAAATTGATGGTCTCAAACGAGTTCGAAGTTCCGCAACCGAGGGGGTAGCTTCTTCAAACAAGGAGAACTCTGAATTTGCAGCACCAACTTGGCTTCAGACGGTCGAGTTGACCAAGCGTATGTTCCGACAACACTGGCGCGACCCCTCTTACATCTATGGAAAGTTCTTCATTGCGGTCATCTTTGGCATCTTCAATGGCTTCACCTTCTGGAAACTTGGCTACACGATGCAAGACATGCAGAACCGCATGTTCACTTGCTTCTTGATCGTGACAGTTCCCCCCACCATCGTCAATGGTGTCGTCCCAAAGTTTTTTACCAACATGGCGCTTTGGCAAGCCCGAGAATATCCTTCTCGTATCTACGGATGGTTTGCTTTCTGTACTGCCAACATTGTTTCTGATATCCCAGCGGCCGTAGTGTCAGCAGTGTTGTACTTTGTGTTGTGGTACTGGCCCACTGGACTTCCAACCGAGAGCTCTGTTTCAGGCTATACGTTCCTGATGACTCTTCTCATCTTCCTCTTCATGACAAGCTGGGGACAATGGATCTGCGCCTTTGCCCCCAGCTTCACCGTTATCTCCAATGTTAGTTCTGCCCCAAGTTCTGCCCTCGATAATATATCTTTTTGTACTAATAGCCTTAGGTCCTGCCCTTCTTCTTTGTCATGTTCGGCTTGTTCAACGGTGTTGTTCGCCCATATGCCTCACTTCCTGTCTTCTGGAGGTTCTGGATGTACTACACCAACCCCTCTACATACTGGATTGGAGGCATTCTGGCAGCAACTCTTGATGGCACTCCAGTGGAATGTTCGTCCGAAGAGACTGCCAAGTTTGACGCTCCCCCAGGACAAACATGTCAAGAATATGCAGGAGCATTTGCAGATTCCGCCGGAGGATACCTCCTCAATCCCAACGCCACGAGTGCTTGCGAGTTCTGCCCAATGTCTTCTGGTAACGATTATCTAGCGTCACTCAATATTGATGCGAGTGACAAGTGGAGAGGTATGCTGATCTAACGAAGCCGTATTGACACAATGTACTAACATACTGCAGATTTTGGCATCTTCCTAGCATTCTGTGTGTCCAACTGGATGCTCGTTTACTTCTTTATTTACACGGTCCGTGTTCGGGGATGGAGCTTTGGCTTTGGAACGATCTTTGGAGGGTTGGGCAAGTTGGTTGATCTGATCAAGAAGCCATTTCAGCGAAAGAAGGAGGAGTAGGAGATTGATTTAGCGAATGCAATTTAGAAAGAAGATGGAAAATTACCAGCGAGTATTTGAGATGCAATAGACAAACCGGGCTAGCAAACGAAGGATCGTATAGCTTTTAATACTACATCTAATATGAGTTCCTCATACTCTTCAGCATTAACTGTGACATATCCTCTCTGCCGAATGTACCCCAGAACAAAGTATGTTGAAGTAGAATCTCATCTATCCAACCCTTCCCAAAAGGCTCACTCATCACTCAGCATCACGCTTCATAGCCTCCTGAACCCAACCCGATCTCTCCCTCCCCAGCTTCTTGAGCTCTTCGTCGGGCAACTCATTGAGCTGGAGGTAAATATGAGGAGTGGGCACATTGCGTCCTTTCTCAAAACCAGGACGTTCAAGTAGCCTGTACATCCAGTTCTTGACGTGAGGAAACTCGTCAATCTGGGAGAGGCCACTGTACTCTGCAGGTGGAAATTAGCTGCCTGAATGTACACAATCCCTGAGTGAAATGCTTACTGTATGCGGTAGTCCATGGCCAAATGGCGATGTCGGCGACGCTGAGATGATCGCCCACGAGATATCCAGATGTATTTTCTGCAAGGGCCTTGTCCATCGTTCGGTAGAGGCGGCGCGTTTCGTTGACGCATCGGTTCAGGGCATAGGGATAATCACCAAAAGCAGACACTGTGTATATCAGATTAGTTACTCCTTTTTATCTTGCCTGAATACTTTGAACGCACTCTCAAAGTGGTTTGCCTGGCCTTGCATAGGGCCGAGACCACTGACTTGCCAAAAGAGCTATGGTGGCTTCGATTAGATATCTCTTCAGGAGTAGGTCGTAGGTATCGGGCTTACCCAGCTCGTCATCTGCCAGTACTCTTTGGTACCACGGGGATACGAGATCTTGTGGTCCTTGTCATACCGTTCCACAAGATACTGCAAGATGGCACCGCTTTCCCAGATCTCGTGTTCGTTTCCATGCTCGTCTTTGTCGACGATGGCCGGGATACGACCGTTTGGGTTGATGTTAAGAAACCACTCCTCTTTCTGTTCGTGCTCGAATAGTTTGATTTTACGAGCCTAAATATAAACTACGTGAGAAATATACACGACTATTTTGGGGTTATGGTTCGCACATTGTACTTCAAGCCCAGCTCCTCAAGTGCGATGGAGATCTTGAGTGGGTTAGGAGTGCCTTCGCAGTAGAGAGTGATCGTATTCTCGGCTGACATGGTGATGTAGGGTCCAAAACTGAGCAAATATTTGATGATAATTAGAGGTCAAATGCTGATGCTTCTCCTTTGCGGACGGCTCTTGGTTCATATTTATACACATCATATTCTCCCACCTCTAAAAGATTCCGCGTACACAAGTCGAGATCATTATTCATCATTCATCATTCTTGCCTACATATAACCAAAAGAAATCATGTTTCATAACTTCTTGTACTCTAAAGGGTTCATGGCATCACAAAAGAGGCTTAGAAGGATGAGGATCTGCTGCGTCACAGCCTTCTACTTGATCACAATTGCAGTTGGTCAGTTGCCAAAGAAGGGAAATGGTAAATCAAAAACGGTAAACAGGTAGTAAGAATACTTGTACGTATGCCTGAAACGGTAAATGGTGTACGGGAAAAGGTAAGGATCTATGTTCTGCGCTATTGCTTGGAACCTGTGTGTGATTATCAATCTGGTCAGCTTCCGCGGAGCCTTTGAAATCAGACGCCCAAGACAAAGACACTCAACTTGCAGTGGGCCTTGTTTGGCTTTGATGACCTTAGAATCTAGCCTCCGACGTTAAATTGACTGAAACCACTGTTTGCATGTTTCCTTCAGTCCAATTCCCCCGACCCTTTGTCTTGCGACAGACACATGTTTAGTGGTGTCACGATGGCAGGGATGGATAAGCCTTCGGAGACGAAACGACTCCTCTTTATTAATACCAATGAAAATGATTTCCGTTCACGTAGAAGTCGCCATAAGTCAATTGATTCCGAGGCTCGTCGGCATGTTATGCTTGATATTGGCCGGGCCCGACAAAAGCCTTCAAAGGACCGCCGGTTTGTCACCCTGACATGGCAGGCACAAAAGGACGCAGGCAAACAAGAAAGTCCAAAGAGAAGACACCATGGTCTTTTTAAAACACCCGAGAAGTTCCAGGTCACAATGAGCACACCTACGTTGTATGCATTCGCTGTCTTCGAGAGGGAATGGGGAGAGGATTCGTTCTCGGCATACGGCTTTACTCTTATCATGACCACGGGGCAAAATGCGATGAGCGGCAGTGAGTGAACCCAAGTCCTGTTATAATCCATCGAGGTATCTTGGACGTACTGAACCTGGGTATACAGCGTATTTGACAAATACGTTTTGGTCCCCTTTCGCCTTCAGGAAGTCTGCCTTTCTGAAGCACTACCAGCAAATCTTTAGTTCACCAGAGGTTCTTGTCCCATTATACCGTCAATCATCTTTAGAACTCAAGGCAATGGCGCTGGAGCGCTCACTGATGACAATTCAGTGTATCGAGTCCAGACTTGCAAGCTCTGATACAAGTTGGGCAACATCAGACAGCGTTATTAGTGCTGTTCTGGCACTGATCTGCTACAATGTAAGTGCCGTACATATATGTAATGCTTCTTGGTCATGTAACTGAAATTATGTTAGTTTTCCAACCTAGATTTCGACCAAGCGATGGTTCACATCAGGGGTATTTGGATGGTGATTGAGGCCAGGGGCGGCATTTCTACTGTAGAGAATAACCAGGACCTATTCCTCATGGTATCATGGTAAGTGCGAAGTCCTCCTGCTACTTTGACCGTTAAATTCATCAGCGACTCAATGGTCCTCCAGGGTCGACATCACGGCAGCACTTCTGCATAACACGAAACCCTTATTTCCACTACCCATGAGGATGGACGCATCTGTTCGCCCAGGCCCGAGTACGCTCCCAGATCCGCTTTTTTGCCTCCTTGACGGCTATGCATTGTATGATGAGCGCTTTCTTGCGGTTCTTGCATGTATGGGAGACTTGAATTCACTTGCCACATTCCTCCGGACCGGCGAGATGACTAAGGGCGATGCCATCTGGAGTGATGGAGAGCAAATTAATCTCCTTTTGAATCCCATTACGCATGACTTGTTAAACCAACAACTATCGGAACCTCCGCAGTCTAATACACCTTTCGAAATGATCTTGGAGTCACTTCGGCTTGGGGCTATCATCTGGATCATACAGACGAAGCGAAGGTGCCGCTCTTATCCCGGCACTGCTCAAACACATATCACATCGCTCCTCAGAATATTATCAAAGGATGCAGAAGCTGATTCTCCATGGAACTGCCGTGCAGACCTGCAGGTTGTTCGTCTCTGGCTCCTGGTTCTCTGCAGTGTCAGCGAACCGAGTGGCCAGGACTATGCGACCTTGATGCAAATAATAGCTTCCGAAATGAAAGAACTGGACCTTGTGACTTGGATCCAGCTTGTTTCTGTCATACAAGGAATGCCCTGGATCTACTCGAGGAACGTGCCAGACGTGAGCATCTCGTGATGCTAGTTCAGGGGTATATTGGAACCGTTTCTCTTTGCCCTCAGACCATGTGGTACTAGGTACTAAGTCAATGATCTAGGGCTCATGGTATATACTGACCGTGAATCACTGTCAAATCTATTGTATGACGTGGCAGCTCATTCACTGATGCGTTCCTGAGAAACAAAAATCTCCACAATTCATACCATCGTTGCATCTTGATGCATCCTTTTCCTTCCATTGCTTTCTAGTTGATTCCTTGCTTTCTCAGCTTCCCTATATAATCTTCGTTCGTTCCATTCTCTCCTCTGATTTCCTTCCCTCGCATCCTTTCATTCACACATTCAAGCTTCACGGGTGTGTTGGATCCCAGCCTCTCAGGACTCAGACGATAAGACGCTTCAAGGTAAAGCAGTATTCTATGAATACTCTGTACTTCTTTTACTGATTATCGATTTCCAGATTGCCGGTCGTTGTGTCCTCGTCCTCTGTCGTCATACGCTCCCAAACGAAGCTTCGCCTGTGAATCAATACACCTCAGGTAGAGTCTTTTGGCTCATGGTATGTCACTTCCCTTCCGACCTTGAAACTCTTTATCGCTAACAGTTTGTTGTTAGAGCCCGCTTTATCATACTGTCGATATCGCTGTCGCAAATCAAGTCCTCAATCATCGTGATTACTTCTGTGGTATGTTTCTCCTTCTCATCATTCATTTCCTCTCCCTAATGAAACATTGCCATAGCAGTACCGATCTATCAATCAGACCCCCTTCAAGAAGAGGTCATCTCGACCTTTATATTGGGGCCAACTTCATCTCTTCGCCATCTTTGGTACCATTGGAGTCTTCAGCCGCATCATGGAAGACCCCAATTTGACCGTTGATCGTCAGTCTCCAGGCGCTGTTTAGAAAGCAGTCGAGGAGAATACCAAGGACTCTACACTGGCCCATGAACCAGAAGAGGGGTCAACCACGAACGCCGATGCCCCCATTGAACCTGCTTTACCAAGCACAATCCAGGGTGTCACGACTCAAAAGCCTGTGTCATCAGATGTACCAGATGGCAATGCCGACCTTGAGGGGTCGTCCTCGGTCTCTCATGGAGAGGTCATCTCGAAACTCGAAGACAAGATCCGGGTTTTGGAATCCCTGCTGTGGGATAGCAGTGAGTCCAACTCACTTCTCACAACTCCTCATGCATCTTTAAAGCGAAAGATGCAGGAGGAGCTCTACCACCCCATCTCCAAGAAGATGAAACCAGCATCCCAGGTTACCTTGGAAATAGGCTCGTTCTCACCCGAAGTCGCAGGTCGATACATGAGTGTCGTCCACAACGAGGTGTTCCGTGTCGCAGGCAGAGCTGGGCTCATCAACCCAGCCGACTTTGACGTGGGATCAGATGGGGTCATTGGGTTGTCGAAACATGCCTTGAAAAAGGTATATTCAGAAGACAAGTCCTAGACCGTTACCGGAGACATTGGTGGGCATTCAAGGGGTAGTCATCATAAAGGGGTCATTTGGTATGATGGATCATCTACACATCATGGGGTCATATAAGAGCTGCAATGGAGCCAATTTGGTCTTTTCTCTTCCACACGTCTTCAATGGGGGCGTTTTTATTCAATAGAGTTCCAGCCATCTGCTCGGCGATTTATGGCATTCAAATAAGCACAAGTCAAGGATTACGTGTAGACAATCAGACTCAAGACTATAATACAGATCACGCCTCATGTCTATACAATCTTTGAAAGGGCCCAAGTTTGACCGCATCAAATTTAGCATCTCCTGTTGTGCCATGTCTGCCATTTCCCTTGAATATTAGCTGACAACACTTGTCATTTCACCCAACTGGTCCAACTTGTGGATATCGTCAGCCATAGTCTCCAGGATACTCTAGAACGTGGCTCTAGACAGCTGAACAGGTAAGTATTTATGCAAAGGCCATAACCAAGTGATTTCACATGAACTGCGAACCTCTTTTTTCGCTCGAGTTTTCCAACTTTGGGACTCAAATGAAACTCAGATATATATCCCTTCCTCAGCTGGCCCCTAGGACATTAAAAGAGACATCCTTTGAAGCTGGATATCTCAAAGACAACCTTCCCATTACTCCACCAAAGCGCGAGCGAGGAGCAACCGTGCAAGATAGGTAACATTAATCGGCTGGCCAACAAACCCGCCTACCTGAGTGTCGAGTTTAGTTCTGACGGGAGTCAGAGGGCAAAGAGCTCCGTCTTGTCTGGAGAGACAAGGCAGGCAGCAGGGCCCCCGTCGACTAAGGTACGTCAAGTACAAGGAAGGGATAGGTAGCCAAGGCAAAAGCACTGGAATTCGAGACGCTATCACCAGATGGGACCGAGACGAGAGGTTCAGAGTGAAGGAATACAACACGAAAGTCATCGTTGCACTTGCCTGGATGCGAATCGTTAGATTTGCTGAGGCAGGGACCCAAGACACCCATCCCCTATATTGCTTCAGACCCTTCAGGTTAACGACAGAATGATGCCATGCAAACTTATCAGTGATGAGTTTGCAGAGTACTTTGAGGTGATAAAGGAGGTCTATAAGGGCCGTAGCAATACCTAAGCATGCAATTTTTACTTGAACAAATAAATACTGTCTTGAATCATCACTACTATCAGGCCAGATAAAGACATGGAAACACTTTAAACTCACGATATAAGCATTGGCGGTGTAAGGGTTCCTCTCTCAGCACGGGGACGGGAATTTTTTCCCACGATCGCGCACTCGGGCTCTCAAACGTACGTGGGCCACAGCGGGACGGCACGCGAGGTCTCCATTTTGGCTTTTCAGCCCTACGGGTCACTTTCAACGTGTCTAACGGTTGATCGAGTATTCGACATTTGTGAGTCAGTTTGTGAAAATTCTGAACAGAACAACGAGGTTGAGCATGTTTGAGTTGGCAGCGGACATCATCCATGTAAGTCGGGCCCTCGCTAAAGATGTGTAGCGAGTTAGGTTGTGCTGTAGAATACGCGAACTGTTGAATTGCTGTAGCCTCGGGCTTCACCGTCTGCTGATTTTTACATAAGTGGTCCTCCGTGGCAAAGTATGTGCTGTGCTGTAACAGTAACAGTTGCAGTTACAGCAAGATGTCGTTGTTGTTGTTGGTATAAAGTCGTGCGTGTGCTCGCTCATGTATGTATCATGCAAGGATATTTCTCTACTCAGCCTTTGTAACACAAGACAAGTGGATACACAAGGGTTGTACCATTTTTGCGAATTCACAAATAAATAGGTAATTAATTAAGCCTCCATCACCTCATAGAGCAAGTCAACAATACTGAACCGTGCTGCTCGAAGCGACTCTCGCATATCGTTCATCAATTTCACTGTGGAGGATCATCAATCAACACTGGACCCCCCTGCATCTTCAGTTTTCACTTCCAGCCCCTCCTCTCTACATACGTCTCTCCTCAGTTCAGTTCAGTCCCGTTCAGGCCAGTTCGCCGCGAGATGCGCAGACTACAGCAGAGAATCAGAACTCAACAAAGCCAAGCTCCAAGCTAAAACGAGAAGAAAAGACTCGGACTGGACGACACTCCCAGCTCTCAGGGGTTGCAACTGTACAGTGGTGGAGTAGCCACAAGAGACCCCTGAAACGCGCGAATCGTATCTCCAGCCACTCGAATTTACGGTGAAGAAGGATCATCGCGTGTGTGTCCCGTGCGTGCGTGCCCGCCGTGGCCCCTCCGAGACTTGACACTACTGTACCTCACTCTTACAGTACATACAGCTCTGACTTGCATCTCGTTCGCAGCAGCGCACATCTTTAGTCTCCTCGTTCCGATCCTGATTTTCCTCAGAATCAAAGTGAGGATCAATCAACGACAAGACACAATTCTCCAATTGAATCAACAGCGCCTTTTCTTTCCCGAATGCGCACAGTCTGAGGTTTCTCCCTCTCTCTCTCTCACTCTCATTCTGAAACCTCACCACCAAAAACTTCCCACCGAGAATCCTCAAAAAACATGGGCTTCCTCGACTGGAACGACGGTGCCTCCGTCCTCTCAGGCAGATCTCGCCGTCACAAATCCTCTCGCTCTCACAAGAAGCGCCGTTCGCGATCCCGCTCCCGCTCTAGCTCCCGTGAGCGTGAGCGTGGTCGTGGTGGCTTCGCCGATATGGCAGACTCCTTCTTTGGCGGAGATCGCTATGGCAAGCACAATTCCTCGCGCTCTTCATTCTTTGGGCTTGGCGGTAACAACAGCCGCTCCAGCTTCTTTGGAAACAGTAATTCTACCCCTCCCAGCCTCATACCTCGGAATCCAAAGGTTGCTAACTAGCTGACTACCTAGGTCGCTCGTCTTACTACAAGCGCTCCCCACGTCAAGGCTTCGTCCAGAAGACATACAAGCAACTCAAACGTCTCCTCCGCGACCTCGTCCACTGGGCTAAGCGCCATCCATGGAAGGTTTTCTTCGTCGTTATCATGCCCCTCATCACGGGCGGAGCTCTGACTGCTCTTCTTGCCCGCTTCGGCCTCCGTATCCCACCAGCCATTGAGCGCATGCTCGGTGTCGCCTCCAAGGCTGCCACCGGCGACTCCTCCGGCCTCGTAGGCGAAGCTGTCCGCATGGCCAGCGGTTTCGGCGGCAACAGCGCTGTTCGCGTAGAGCGCGACACGCACTCCTACAGCAGTGGCGGCGGCGGTGGCGATACTTGGGGCGGTTTTGCTGATATGGCCAAGAAGTGGATGTGATGTTACTTCAGCGAGATGGAGTCTTTGCTTCGGACTTTTGACACTACCTTTTTTGACTGACGAGACGCACGCAATTGGCTTTGCTTGAGGCGTTTCAGGAACGGAACGGAACGGAATGGATGGAATGGTAAGGATTTACTTGGGAGGATTATTGTGCCCGCATCGCCATATTACTGGTGCTTTTACATAGAGACTGCAAGGCAGCATTCTTGAATACATCTCACGACTTAATGGCCCCTGACTATTTGGCTTTGTACCTGTCTGGAGAATGTGATCGCCTTCTTCCAAAACTCTACAATATCATCCTTGTCCCGAAACAGACCCAACATTCATCATGCCAGGAGGAATAGGGTTACGAGGCATACCTCACTCACGTCGTCGTAAAATTCAAGCTCAGAGTCATTTCAGCACTATGTTCATTACTAGTTCTGTGCATTTACCAGCCGCCTCCGCAAAATACCTAGTTAGATCTCATATTGACAGCGGCATAGATGCCACATTTGGGTTGTCCAACTCCCTGAGGAGTCAAAGCTACCCAAGTATCTGACTCAACCATCGGCCATGTCGACCTGGGAGTCAGGTACCTGAGGCAATGCCAGATACCAATGCTATTCATGCAATCATTAACCTCTGCGCCCCATTCCGTTCCTTAAACTAAAATACTTGGGTTTCCATCGATCCAAGGCCCGTACCAGTTCGCTTGATGCCTTGCTTCTTGACCAACAATGTTGATATGGTCATTACTCCAAGCAGTGGCCCCAAATAGAGTCGACTTGATAAGGCTGCCGAGTAAAGCTTCTCGGTTGTGGGATGCCATAAAGAATATTGTACATGCACCGTGCAATCGCAACGGCAGTCATAGAACGCCAACGCTGTAGAGTTTCTTCAAGTCGCATATCTCATTCATTACTTCGCCTCACCCTCTTTCTCCTTAGCGGGCTTCCAAAACTGCATCATTCGACCCAGTTTCTTCGTTCGGCTACTCTTTGCTTTCTTGTGATTCTCGTCATTGTCCAGTGTGACCTCCATTGAGAGCTTGCTCCGTTCACCATGCGAGCTACTGATGAGACGGCTGAGGCTGGCAAGACTTGATCGACGTCGTCCGAAAGCAGCAGAGGAAACCGAAACTGGTCGAGGTTCTCGAAGAGTGGGCTGGGATTG